CGACAGTTTACGTTTACGTTTACCGTTTACCCCCCTTACCCCCCCCCCCCCCTAACTGGTATGACCATGTAGTTACTTAGTCTTCTAGTGCATTCGATTGGCCCTAATTGTATGTCAAATTTTGTTCAACAGACTCTTGTCTTCAACATGATCCTGGTGCATTCTTTCTCTATGTTTTAACTGTCTATTACCATGACTAACTTGCTCAGTAGACTTGTTGTATCAAATGTTTATGTGGTTTCAACCCAATATGTTCCCAATCCCCTTCACCGCCTGTTTGTAAGTCTGTTTGTTAAGTAAATCTGAGTATTATGTGATTAATTGGGTTGTTTGCTGAGTATGCTTTTCCTCAAAAAATGATTTTAAAACTGTTGCTCCTACTTATAGTATTCTTCTCAAAACTGGTCACTCCAAGCATCTTTAAAAACTGTTCTCCATTTCTGAATCTTTCCTCAACATTGTTTTACTAAATCTTTCAAAACTGTGTCAAGCACTCTCACCCTACTCTTAGACCATTAAGTTCTGCCCCTCTGGTGTGTGTACTGCTTAGGGATCCTTGAGTTCTCTCTACACTCTAGCATACCATGGTTGGCCCTTCCATACTGCACATAGCCAATCCCTATCTGAGAAAGGTCTTGGTGTGAGCACTGCCCGGGATCCTTGAGCTCCTTAGGGAACTCTAACCCACCAAGACACACTATTGGCTGTGAGATATTTGGCTTATGAGACTGTATTGAAGGCCTGGCATCCCCAGGTTTATTTTGGGCCTGATTTAGGCTCCCTATAGTATAGTTTCATTTACTTATGTACTTCATTTGATCCTGGTCTGTAATAATATTCTTTGTAAACAGATGTTGGGGTAATTAGTAAAAAGGGGAGGGTTCATATATGATTTTTGTGGGGAAATCGGGTAGAAATCATGCTTCTAGGATTATGTGTGTTGATTCGCAGCAGAAATCATGCTTTAGGTTTACACTATGTTTACATTCTGCAATAGATATCATGCCACTAGGTTTGCTATGCCTATTTCTATTAAAAAAAACCATGCCATAAACCTGTGCAATAGATATCCTGCCTTAGGATAATCATGTTTACTGCTTTGCATATTAGGAAACATGTTATAGTCATCATTTTATTTCTGATTCTGCCTAAAGTCATAATCACTTAGGAATTCTATAATTAAACTATTGCTGTGATCATGCTTAATAAAGTGACCATCTCTCTCTGTGCATTAGAAATCCTGATTTAGGACACTGTTTGCATTGGTTCTAAATCATGTCTACGTCGCACAGAATTATGATTGCATACAAACCCACGCCTAGGCAAGCCTTAGGTAATTAATGGTCTTATAACTGTGAAATTGGGCTCTATTTTTGTGTGAAATCGTCCAGGTTTAACAGGCTATAAAATCAATAGGCAAGCTGATTAGGGTTCTACCACTTCTCTTTAAAACAAATGCTACATATTCTGTGTTTGTGATGTTCATCTAGATATCATGTTCTAAGGCTTTCTAAGTTTCTTTATATCAGTTGTTTGAGACGTGCTACGTATCTGTTTATGTGTGGAGGTAAACATGAGCCACTTAATTGCTTCCCTATTTGACAGTCCTATGTGTTCTTTGTTGTCGCTTAGATTTTACCTTTTAAATACCTTAGGGGTGTCTAGAACTGCCTAAGTATAGAGTTCCTAAACACCTCCGGGACCACAAGGAAGGGACGGATAAAGCACGTTTAGAGTTCGTTAATTAAACTCGCTTATATAACCACTAAGGGGAGGGTAATGGGTAGTAAAAGGATATGATGACATGTGCGCTAATGCCACGTGTAACCCCTCTATTTGAGGATGGCTTACCGGGTATTGTACAGATATGATCCTATAGGCTAACCAACTTAGGACTTCCCTTCCTTAATTTATGTATGTTCGGACTGTTCAAACTTCTTTAGTTTAAGTATGTGTGCTTAGACTGTGTATACTTCCTTTATTTGCAAATGTGTGCTTAGACTGCTTACCTGTTAAATGACTAATTCACATAACTAAGTTCGGTCGGGACCCACTGTTGTGGACCGTGAGGGGTGCCTAACACCTTCCCCTCAAGGTTATTTCAAGCCCTTACCCTAATCTCTGGTAATGCAAACTCGTTACATGAGTTAATTGCTCTAGGTGCCCTAACGCACCTTAATCCGTTAGGTGGCGACTCTTCAAATACCCAATTCCCAAAAGGAAACGAGTTGATCCCAATGAATGTTGAAACCCGAACTCCCACGAGGGAAAAAGGGGGCGCGACAGTCCCAGGTACGTTTCTCCCTTGTGATCGTGACTTTGGTGCATTTAAATGTTGGACCCTGAGGGATATCGACCCCACCGACGATCATATGAATCATGTGTTGCGGTTCGTTCTTCCTGTTCGTTCTTCCTGTTTGCATCCCTGTCTCTGAAGTGATTTTTTCAAGAACTCTCGAAGATGACCTTCGTTGAATAAACGAGCTACCTCCTCCCCTAGTTGTCTGCAGTCTTCGGTTCTATGATAATGGGTTCCATAGTACTTGCATGTTTGATTTGGATTCCTTTGAGCTGGATCAGTCTGTAGGGGTTGAGGCCACCTAGTATCTTTGATTCGTCCAATGGCTGACAAAATACCCGAAGCATCGAGGCTGAAGTTATACTCTAATAACCGTGGTGCTTCCTTAGGCTCGACATGTTTATCGAAGCCACTCTTACTCATAAGCCCTCGGGAATTTTGACCTTGATCATTCCTTCGATCATTGCGAACGGGATTACGTCCTGATCTATTGTTCCTACGATCTGCGCCATAAGGTTGGTATCGATCCCTGTTCGATCGGGGCTCTCTATCAATGTCTCTTCGAATCCTGCCTTCGGATCTATATAGATAAACGGAACCGGACAGGGCTCCTAACTGATCATCCTCGACTCTGATTTTTGACTGGTACTGATTATGCACATCGGCCCAGGTCACTGTTGGATATTCAATCAAATTCTGCTTCAATTGACGTGATGCTACCGAACTTCGCTCGTTCAGAGCCTGAGTAAATGCTTGGATAGCCCAATTATCGGTAACCGGGGGCAGGTCCATGCATTCCATCTTAAATTGAGAAATAAATTCCCTTAGCATTTCATTGTCCATTTGTCTCACTTTGAACAGGACCGACTTCCTGGTCGCGACCTTTATTGCTCCAGCGTGTGCCTTTACGAACGAATCGGCGAGCATGGCGAAAGAATCGATAGAATTGGGCGGCAAATTGTGGTACCATTTTATCATTGTCCCCTTCGACAAAGTTTCTCCAAATTTTTTCAGCAAAACGGATTAAATCTCATCATCTTCTAAGTCATTTCCCTTTATATCTGTCACGCCCCAACTTCGGGAGGCGCGACCAACGCTCAATCGAGTGAACCCAACTGAGCAAGCCTTATCAACCACTACCTACCCAACTCAATAGGAATAAGGAAGCCATGCTTACCTTTATTTAAACTAGAAACGATAGTACATTCACTATCTTAGTTCACTTTATATCACAACATTAAAATGTGGTTAAACTTCCAAGGTTCCATACAAGTTATAGTTTAGAAGAAAGCAAGAGTACAAGATTACAACATAGTCCATTGACCTACCCAATACCCAGACATAACCCACACAAACGTCTACGGAGCCTCTAAGGATACAACAGACAGTGATAACAACGCCGGCAACAAGGCCCCGGCTATACCTCAAAAGTGCAAGTCCGAAATAAGAAGATACACAATATAACCCCTTGAAGGAGAAAGGGGCTCACCAAGACTCTGTGAAAAAGGATGCTCCGCTACACATGATCGACACTATCCGCTATGGAGCCACCTACATTCATTAAAAAAAATGTAGCGCCCCCGGCAAAAGGGACGTTAGTACCATGGAATAGTACTAGTATGTATAACTAAACACCATTTTACTAGAAAGAACTCTTAAACAAGTACAAGTACATCACATGAGTAAATCAAGTATGCAAATCACATAATCTTCATATAATTTCCAAAACTTAGTTTGGGGCATTTCTTTCATATATTCATCATTGGTCTCAATACCACCGCTGTCTTGAGCGGAGTCCTATCACGACCCGACCGGCTAGGTCACCTCATTGGAGGCATATATCTCAATCAATGTTTTATTCCCCTTATCCGAAATTCAATATCATCACATTACCACCATGTGTACAGCATGGTGTCCGATCACGACCCGATCGGCTAGGTCGCCTTGCCTAGGCATTATTCCTTTCTCATTAGTCAACACATCGAAATCTTTATTTCACATACCTCATATCAATTCCTTGGCACTTAGGGCCACCATTATCAAATTGTTTTCTATTGTCAATACTCATCTTGCAAATTATGATCATAGGCATATACAAATACAATTCAAGTTGCAATCACAGGTAAGCACATAGCTAGCATCCATAATTCTCCGTTTCGATATTGGCTTATAGCCCAACCATTTCAACACATAATTGTATTTTTCATCCTTCTCTAACTATCAAGAATGGTACATTACACCCATTGAGGCACATCCTTTATGTATATGTATAGAAAATTGCAAGTCAACTAATGCGCAGCAACAATTAATACATTAACCAATCCAATCTTACCACACTTTCGTAAACACCAACGGAGCTCAATTTCTAATAAAAGAGGGTTTTAGCCATACATACCTCGTTTAAGCTTTCCTTAAGTTACTACAACATTTCGGAAATTCTAGCAATCCCAATCTACTTGAGACATAAAAAAAATTAACACAAATTAGGAAGGTATTCGTGGTTTCAACTCGTTTGAGTATTTTATCAAACACTAGTTGAGCATCTTGATCTTATATCTCTTTTACAAGATTTCCTTCATTCCCTAACCCAATCTTTACTTATTTATATTCATCAATCTCCTCACAAACCTAATTTGTACATGCATGCATACATAGTACTATTACCCCAAGAATCATACCTTAATAACTCATCTCACAATCTCTACAATACCAACACAACCTAGGTTAGGCACCTATGGCTTCCAACCCCCATCCCATGAGTTACAATACTTAATCCATACTCATATTTCTATAATAACTCCATATATGTAAGTCTAAGGTGTAGGATTACCTTTTGTAGACCAAATCTTGAAAGACAACTTTGGGGTGTTCTTGAGATTTTGAAGAAATCCTATGAAATCCAATCAAAATCATGTGGTAACTAGTGATTGAGAAATGAAATCACCATGAAAACACACTTAAAAACTCACCTTAGATGTGCAATTAGATGCCTTGGTCGAGTTGGGGGTGTAGCCCTAAGCTTGAGAAAGGACTCAAATTCTCTTATTTCCAGTCTTTAGGGGTATTTAAAAGCCTTCCACTAGCGCGTTCGCGCATTTGTTCGCGCTAGGGAGGCAGAATACTACTCAAAATGCGCGCCTTCTGGCGCGTGTTCGCGCTAAAGGTCGCGCTAGTGACACCTGCCCAGTAAAATGGTCATAACTTTCCGTATACACCTTCAAATGATGAACGGTTTGTTGAGTTGGAAACTAGACTCACAGGGCTTTAATTTGATAGGTTGTTCATCACACAACTCCTTATATAACTGGAGATATGATCGTTCAAAGTGAGGTATTGTGTGCACTCATTTACAGATTTCGTCTAATATGCAATTTTCCAACTTGGCTTAGACTTAGGCCTCTCCTTAGACCCCAATTCACCTCTAATATGACTTATATGATTATTAACATATCCAATTGATACCCATTCTATCATGAATCCTCATTTGCACACAAAATAAAATAATTAGCCTACCCTGGCCCGATGAAATCTCAAATTACTAGGAAAATTTTTCCGGGGCCTTACAATATCGCATGTGTACGAAGTGATGTATTCATTAGGATCGGTGGTCCCGTTGTACTTAGGGATGTCCGGCATACGGAACTTCTAAGGAATGGGCTTCGGAGCCGCACCTTGAGGAAAAGGCTTTTGCATGAATTTCTTCGAATCCAAACCCTTTAGGTGTCACGACCCAAACCGATGGGCCGCGACGGGCACCCAGTAATACCGTCATCTTTTCGATCTACTGTTGTCATCCATGTATCGCATCTTACTCGTAATTCTTCCTTATCTCTCTACTCATTACTCTGCTAATATTTCTGCCTATCCCTTTTTGGTGAAAACAAGACATTCTTTTGCTTTTTGCTCCCCTTGCTTCATAAATCGGCTCTTCGGGTTGCTCAACGTCCTCGCTCTACTAGGGACGAGACCTCACACTAAGATAATATTTATCCCTTCCAGGCTTTCAGTGCCTATCTTCTGAATTTTTTTTTGATCATGATAGTATTCACATCTAATTGTAATATTCTAGAGTGCACCATCTGGGTTCCTCACAAGAAGATCTATTAGCACATTTGTAATATCCTTCGGAAATGTCAACTAACACAAACAATCCATTCACCATTTTGGGTTACTCTTACCCCAGCCGGATCCTGATGTTCCGTCCTTTTCTTAAACTACACCTGTTAGCCCCCATAGAGCATAACTGAGATGGGTGCGGCCAATTGTACATACCTCTGTTACTGTTGAATCTAATTTAAAAAGCTTATATTCCTCTGCCTGAATTATAAACACTGTTAACCTTCATTAACTGGGCGCCTCGTACCCTTCTTCATCTTGCTTCTTTTGCTTGTTGAAACTTGTATTTATCTTCTGAATCTCTCATTGTCTTTCACCATAAAGGTGGATAGGTATTGCCTCAAGGCTTCTTATCAAGAGGCTTACACCTTTCAGTACGCACATGATCAGTTGAAGACCTCACATTTACTTATCATAAGCATGATGCAAAGTCGAGTTCCTCTAACTCAACTCTTCCATAGCCATATCTTTTACCAATCGTCTTTCTAAATGTAGGTATCGTATTATTATGAATAAAATAGAATCTAGGAAATTGAGTTCTTACAACCGAGCTCTACCACACAATCTAGAGTAAGAAGAAAGAGTGACAGTTGTACACGACTAAAATCAGAGAGTCCAATTTTATGATCATCATAACGCTCCATAGCCCATCTCCACAAGGCTCGAGGAACAGCTCGAGGTTCGACCCCGAGGGTTCTCTATGTTCGACCTCGGGGCAGTGCAAATCGGTGGCTATGTCGGGCAAGAGGGAAATTCCCAAGGCACGTGGTTAGAGCTGACCAGGTCTACAAGGATAGTACAAGTCCGTACCGTGACATTAAATGGTTGTACCAGCCGCATATCTTTGTAATAAATGGCTGTATCTTTGTAATAAATGCACCTGTACTATGTTGAGATTCCCCCTCCAATATAAAGGGAACCCTTGTCATTTCTTGCACACATGATATTGGATACAAGAAAAAAAAACATTCTGTGCTCTCTAACTTAAAAATTCTCCATTGTCTCTCCCTTGATTTTATTAATTACATTTATCGTGTTCTATTAACTATCCTTCATTTATTGCTCATCATTGATCATAAAGAGCCACTATCAAGGCTCTCAGAACTGTTATTTCTCCATCGATCATCCCCGATCGAGCTCATCAGCTCGAACTCGAGGCCCAGCTTAGGCTAGCTCGAGGCTCCGATTCACGGCCATTCGGTTTGCGTTATACACTGTCTTCACGCTTTTATCTCTTTTTCCTAACTCACATCTAACATTTATCATCTGACAACTAGCATTAAAATAAATCACGTATTTTTAGAACCACAAAATCAAATTTAATTGTAATTACCATTTTCAAAGTAAACAGTTTGGCGCCCACCGTGGGGCTAAAAATAATCGTGATTGTTTTTGTGCTGGTTTACTGAATAACGCAAGTTATCTTTCACACTTTTTCTTGTCCAAGAATCTTTGATTTCAGGTCAAAATGTCTAACTCAGTGAATGCACATGAGAACAACGGTCCTGAGGACCATGGAGAGAATGGTGCAGCTATTCCAGGCATCGGTGTACCACCGCGAAACCCTGAGGATGCACCAGAACCAATTCCCGTGGACGTGGTCTCGCGCAACGCCCAACACATCGATATAAGCTCCCACACTAACAGGAGTATATGTCAAGAAAACAAACAAGAAGCTCAGAAAACCCCAGCTCGGGAGGAACGAGAGGTTAGCCTTCACGTCATTTTTGAGATGTTGCAGGCACAACAGCTGGCGATTGCTCAACTGCAAAGCCACCAAAAAACTCCAAGCACAGCAGCATCGGAAACAGCTCCTTGAGCCGAACAGGTATCGGAAAGATCGAGCAACAACGGGTCAGCAG